TTTTTGGCTTCATATCGCCCAGCCCTACTGTGAAACATTCCTGACAAAGCAATAACATCTCCATGCAGAAAAGCACAAGAAAAGTTACACGACGCAGCTTTAAGATCACGAAAGAAAAGAAATGAGAAGAAAAAATCTGATTCTTTTTTTTGGTCATATGTTCCAGACTATGTGTCTAGAGCTACACATTTAGTTATCTTGACGTGTTTTGTCTTTTTGGGAGAAATAGGAGCCGTGTAGCCGTCCATAACATCTGCTGTGACCTGTGATCCATCAGGTTTATAAAGCGGCACACAGACCGTTTATTCGCTCGTGTTTCACCTCCACAGCTCCGACACGCACATTCCTCTACACACTTTATGCTCACCGTGGGCTCATTCACCGAGATTCGCCGTGGATTATAACGGCACAGAGCGAGTTCTGTTACCGGGAAAAACATTTATAATTCAAACTAATGAGGACCTCAGACGAGTCATTGTTGCAGCCCCTTCTGAGATCTCATCCTTCACTGCGATTGGCTGGATCCATCACTCAGACCTGACACCGAATCTCAATATGACAACGGCATCGCAGCGATCAGAACACTACTCACTTTTTATTGTGGCATCCAAATTGATATAGAGCCTCTAGTTTGTTGCTTGGTCTCGTTTCTGGCTTTGTTTTTGTTCCTTATTCACCAAATGAGAGAGTGATCTTTCAAAAGTGGATGTTTAATGTTGTTACTTGGAGACTTTTTATTATAGTATATGTTCACAGAATGTACTAAATATGTATACTTGTAGTTGTCTGTATAACGCAATTTCTGCTGATGTGTTTTGACGGAGGAAATTTGCAGTTTTGCATAGATGAAATATAAACCTAGACGTCTTTTTCTTTTTTTTCTTTTTTTTTGTATGTGTTTGTGAATTTGTATATTAGGGGTGTGCAAAAATATCGAAACATCCAAAAAATCGATATATCGTATTGTTTAATGTGATGGGCTGCTGCTATCGATACATCTCCAAGAATATTTTTTGGTATATTTTACTAAATTATTTTGTTACAGTGCTACAGTTTTGTTGTTTGTTCAGAGGAAGGACATTTTTTTATGCAACACATTTGACATTTTTACAGTTTTGAGGATTAAAATGAGTGAGTTTCATATTAATTTTGCACAAAAAGTGGTTTAACAAAGACTTTTAGTATCACAGCCATGATTTAGCTTTTATTTTTTATTCAATCATAACAAATTGATTTGAAATATATTGTATCGAATCAAAAGTGTACTGTATCAAGGTATGTATTATATCGGCAACTTCTTAATCATACTCAGCCTGAATCTATATATATAATTAGGGGTGTGCAAAATATTTAAATATCAATATAGCGTGTCGTTTAATGTGATGATACAGTATCGATATTGTGGGCTGCTGTATCGATATATCGCCATGAATATTTTTTTGTATATTTTCCTAAATTATTTTGTTACAGCGCTACAGTTTTGTTGCTTGTTCAGAGGAAGGAACCTTTTTTTATGCAACACATTTGACATTTTCATTGTTTTGAGGATTAAAATGAAAGAGTTCCATTGTATAAGGATGTAAATCTCCAGTTACCCAAAATAAATACATAAATAAATAAAAATTGTTTCACATGAACTTTGCACAAGAAATGGTGTAACAAAGACTTTTAGCATCACTGCCATGATTTAGCCTTTATTTTTTATTGAACCGTATCGAATCGATTTGAAATATATCGTATTGAATCGCCATATAGAATCGTAAGCTCACTGTATCGAGATATGTATCGTATCGTGGCCTATGTATCGAGGTATAGATTGTATCGGCATTTCTTAATGATACCCCGCCCTGCATATAATGTATAATATGTATATATGGGTATGTGTGTTTATGTAGATGCTGTATATATGTATTATAAATGTATATGTGCTTGTTTCTATATATGTATTTATGTGTATCTATGTGTGTGTGTGTGTGTGTGTGTGTGTGTGTGTGTGCTGTATATGCCCATCACTAGAGAGTTTCAGGGTGGGAGGTGTGGGGTTTAAAAGGAAGAAAAATGCAATGCCAACAGGAACATGTATACTTAACTGCAAATGATAACTCCTGAATAAAAATTTGATCACAAAAAAAAAAAAAAAAAGTGTATGTTTAACCCTGAATATGTTAATCATATAAATCATATAATAATTTATCACAAAGCCTCACACAGGCTGCACTGGTCTTGTGAGGTTTAAGTCATGTTATAATGCTGTTACCTCCTCAAAAACAGACCTGGAGTTGTTTACTTTTGTTTTCATTCACACGTGTTTAAGTCTAATGTAATTAGTCTGTGCACTTCTCTAAAGCTCTAAATCCTCTGTTAAACCCTGTGATGTCACGAAGCGGTAGTTTTCAAGTTATCAGCTCCTTCTACCTTTAGTTGTGTAGAGATTGGAGGTGTATGGAGTTTAAAAACACAGCGGAGCACTTCCTGTATTACCACATGACATCACAAGGTGGAGCAGAGTGTTTTCCGCTCCGTTTGAGAGAAGAACTCAGGGTAAATATGCAGGGTTTGTGTGTTAAACATGTGCGAATGAAACGAAACACAACTCCGGGTCTGCCCTGACGACGTCCATCTTGCTGGTCTATGTGATGAAGCACTTTTAATATATTCAGTCACTGTGCCTCGGGTTTGTACCTTGCCCACCTTTACATTTTTCAGTAAGGGCTACATTCTGTTCAGATTTCAAGTTTAACCTTCGTAGCGCACCCGTACTGCTACTTTTGACTTTTTTATGACCCAGTGAAGCGCTCTCTACCTCTTCCCTTCACAACTCCAGGTTTGTTTGTGATGAGGAAACAATGTGTGTACAACCCCTCAGTCGTCCAGGTAGACTCCATAGCAAAAGAAGAAATTCAGTTTGTCAGCTGGACAAAAGTTTGTTTTGGTCGAATATGTTTCGTAGCTCATCCAAGTTCAGTTCTGGTCAGATGCTGGTGGACACTGCCTTATGTCTGTCAGAAGGGAGGAGCTAACTACACTAAAACTACTCTAAAACTAACACACATACTTGTTTACAGTTTCTGTTAGTTTGGTAGGCCTATTGAACTGTGTGTGGGGTCATATTAGCAGAATCATTCAGGGCCATAATGAAGCTTTCACACCTCAGGGCCTGACCTCTCTATCCCTATTGTTTTGTTTGTTTGTTTTGATTTAGTTTTGAGGATGGAGTTGTACATAGGAGATAGATGATGTCTGAGTTCTCCATTTATGTTTAAGGAAGGATTCTCTCTCTTTTTTTTTTTTTATAACAAAAATAGCCTCTTCAACTCCCCTCTCTAACCAATTCTTTACTCTGGCTCAGATCTGTACCTCACAGCATGTACATGAGACTGAGGTCCACTATTGCTCTCTCGTCTGTGTTGGTACATCCTCTTGTGAAGTTGCTGTTTGCTTCTCCAGTGTTGTAGTGACATCATCTATCTCCTATTTACAACTCCATCCTAAACAAGTACATGTGTTAGTTTCAGAATAGTTTCAGTGTAGTTAGCTCCTCCCTGCAGGTAGATATAAGGAAGTGTCCACCAGCGTCTGACCAGAACTGAAGAAGCAGCTTGGATGAGCTGCGAAACGTACTCGACCAAAATAAACTTTTATCCAGCTGACAAATTAAATTTCTTCTTTTGCCACAAGGAAACAATATTATAACATCGATATGGAAAATAGCATAATATAGGCCCTTTAAAATAAAATAAAATCCCAACGAAAAGAATACCAGTAATCCAGAGCCTAGTGTAGCTTCTTACCTCAGCCTTGTTAGAGCCTTGTTAGGTCCTTGTTAGGTCCTTGTTAGGTCTTTGTTAGGTCTTTGTTCGGTCCTTGTTAGGTCCTTGTTAGGTCCTTGTTAGGTCCTTGTTAGGTCTTTGTTAGGTCTTTGTTAGGTCCTTGTTAGGTCCTTGTTAGGTCCTTGTTAGGTCTTTGTTAGGTCCTTGTTAGGTCCTTGTTAGGTCCTTGTTAGGTCTTTGTTCGGTCCTTGTTAGGTCCTTGTTAGGTCCTTGTTAGGTCTTTGTTAGGTCCTTGTTAGGTCCTTGTTAGGTCCTTGTTAGGTCTTGTTAGGTCTTTGTTAGGTCTTTGTTAGTCCTTGTTAGGTCCTTGTTAGGTCTTTGTTAGGTCCTTGTTAGGTCCTTGTTAGGTCCTTGTTAGGTCCTTGTTAGGTCCTTGTTAGGTCCTTGTTAGGTCCTTGTTAGGTCTTTGTTAGGTCCTTGTTAGGTCCTTGTTAGGTCTTTGTTAGGTCTTTGTTAGGTCTTTGTTAGGTCTTTGTTAGGTCCTTGTTAGGTCCTTGTTAGGTCTTTGTTAGGTCTTTGTTAGGTCCTTGTTAGGTCTTTGTTAGGTCCTTGTTAGGTCCTTGTTAGGTCTTTGTTAGGTCCTTGTTAGGTCTTTGTTAGGTCCTTGTTAGGTCCTTGTTAGGTCTTTGTTAGGTCTTTGTTAGGTCCTTGTTAGGTCTTTGTTAGTGTAAATGGCCACAATCCATTTTTAACGTGAGATGTGTTGTCTCAAAAATTGTAAACATCATGTAACATTTTGTAACTTAGATCTAATGTCCATTATTTCCAATCAGCTGATGCATTTTTTCAATATTTTGCAGATCTGTTATATTCATTATTGTTTAGGGATGTAATAGTATGACTTTTTTCTTTAAAAATGCCTTTAAAAACAAGCCTTTGGTTCTGTCATAAATCAAAGAGTTAAGATTTAAAAGTGCTTCATAATATATTGTATTTCGTTGTTTAAATTGGACAGAAACAGAGCAAAGGATCATGGTCTATGTAGTTCCCTCTGTTTCTTTTATGTATTGCTGCACCATAGCAATGAATTTAAGCAAAGGGACGTCAGATTTGATATTTTGTAATGGTCCACGGTATTATCGAGAGACTTTTGACGATACGATATCACAATATTACTAATCACGATATCACTTACTAAACTCTGACCCTGCTGTTGTGTTGTGTCCTCAGAGGAAGTCCCTGATCGCCACCAGCCTGATCGTGGTGGTGTCCCTCTTCGTGGTGGTGGTGAATCTGTCGGAGAAGCCTTACTTCCTGCTCCAGCCCGTGTTCGGACAGGGTTTTGGGGGACACTGGATGTTCAAACAGCCCTACAGAGCCTACAAGCCCCACCAAGGCTACCTGAGCATCCCCAAACAAGAGGTCAGAGCCACACGGAAAACGTACATTCACCATTCAGAGGTTTTTGGCTTGAACTGTAGCCTTGTGAGTGCAATTTGGGTCAGATACGCAGAGAAACGTAACGGTTCTGAGAGCGTTTTTCACGCTCTCTTTTTAGTCGACTCACCGATCAGCGGCATCTTTACTCCACCAAAAAATGTCCCTAAACACGTCACGTCTTTCCATGAGTTTCAAGTAGAACTGTTGCCATAGCGATTAACAATTTAAAACACACATCTTCGGAGTCTTCAAAATGATGTAAACAGAAAGGCGAAAGTCGAGGATACAGAGGTTGATTTCACGATTCCAGTTAATGTCATTTGTCAATATATAATACAAAATCAGAGGTGGGGTGTAAGAGAATTTAAGTAATTTATCTTCCACATACATCTCAGTTTAACATTGACTCACAAAAGCTATATTTACACCATGATCTTCCCTTGGCATACCATTGGCATACCATTATCTGAATTGTGGCATATTGCTGTCTAACTAGTGTCTACTGGCCTTCAGAGTCTCACCACTTGCTTTATAAAACCTCCTCCTTTGGAAGCAGAGTCAAGGGCCTTGAAGACTCACTTTTGAAATCATACTATGTGGACTTTTCATGTATTATTGATGGTAAATAAACTTCTCCTGCTTAAGACGTCCAGTTGGTCTCAAGCCCTTTACTTCCACCCCTTCTTGGATAAGCTGAAAACTTCGACAACAGAGGGGACTTGTAAGTTGTGACTATTTGTAGGACTTGGCTTGATAAAATGGACTAAGACTTGGGGCTTGACTCGGACTTGAAGATCAGTGACTTGGGAATTGATGAGGACTTGGACCCTGTGACTTGAGAAGACTTGATGCTTCTCCTAGAAATCCTCCTTAAAACTTTTATCTAGTTCTTAACTTTACAGGAACAAACTGTAACACGTCTGTCCCACTTTTCCATTTGTCACTTTGGTTGTCACTGAAGTACTGTGATGTGGTATCCTCAAATGTACTACAGAGAATATACAGTACAATACAGAAAAAACGAGGGAACTACAAAAAACATGATCCTTCCATTTCAGCGCAGACTACCTGATAAAATAACTGTTATTAAGCACTTTCAAATCTTAATTATTTCTATTCTGACCGTAATGTTTCACCCTTAGATCTTGTCAAGACATTTAAAAAGGAAAAAAATGCATTTCTACAACTCTTACATACTCATATATAAATATACCATGACTTTTTAAGTTACAATTTAGTTTAAAATTCATATAAATTGCAAAATCTAAGTGATACTTTGGTTTAAAGACTTGAAATGACTTGAAGCTTAAAGCAGACGACTTGGATTTGACTTGGACTTACGGGCCAGTGACCTGAAACTCGACTTGGACTTGCCTGTATTTGACTTGGGACTTGACTCGTACTTGAGGTCAAAGACTTGAGACTTGCAAAATAACGATTTGGTCCCACCTCTGCAAAATCAATATAGGAAGTATAGAAACTTCGAATATCTACTTCTAATACGTTTGTTTTGAATGTCAACGTTTCTCCTACGAACTTCTACTGTTCAGAAATAGATTTTTGTGCTTTTTGAACTCGAGCGTGTGTTTACAGCCTCAACTATTTCATGATAGCAAGACTGACAAGACACATATTTTCATTTGATTCCCACACAAACTGCACATACCTTTAATGCACACCATTAATTGTCTTTTTTCTTCTCAAATCCTGTATTTTTCTTTCTTCAAAATAAGTTAAAGGTCTCAAAAACATGAAAAACACAAGTTTATTTTAAAAGTTTTGCAGCGGTCCAAAGTTATTCCTTACTTACTTCATTATTCTTCATTATTCACCACGGAGCGAAGTTTTGCTGTCACAGTAAAGCTAAAAACGACTAGCATGCTGACAGCACACTTCATGATGATCTGACAAGGAAACGCTTTATAATTAAACTTATTTTGACCTCAAGAGCTGCTTCTACAACAAATCTGTACTGAGGCAAGACTGAGCATAAAATAAATATTCATAAAGTCTCAAATTAGTCCACTTGTCATGTTTTACTGAATGGGTCCTCTTTAGTCCTGGTTTAGTCCTGGAATCAGTCCTGGTTTAGTCCTGGTTTAGTCCTAGTTCTGTCCTGGTTCAGTCCTGGTTCTGTTCTGGGTTAGTCCCGGTTCAGTCCTGGTTCAGTCCTAGTTTAGTCCTGGTTCAGTCCTTTTTCAGTCCTGGTTTAGTCCTGGTTCAGTCCTGGTTCTGTTCTGGGTTTGTCCTGGTTCAGTCCTGGCTCAGTCCTGGTTTAGTCCTGGTTTAGTCCTGGTTCTGTTCTGGGTTAGTCCCGGTTCAGTCCTGGTTCAGTCCTTGTTCAGTCCTGGTTCAGTCCTGGTTCAGTCCTGGTTCAGTCCTGGTTTAGTCCTGGTTTAGTCCTGGTTCAGTCCTTGTTCAGTCCTGGTTCAGTCCTGGTTCAGTCCTGGTTCAGTCCTGGTTTAGTCCTGGTTTAGTCCTGGTTCAGTCCTGGTTCAGTCCTGGTTTAGTCCTGGTTCAGTCCTGGTTCAGTCCTGGTTCAGTCCTGGTTTAGTCCTGGTTCTGTTCTGGGTTAGTCCCGGTTCAGTCCTGGTTCAGTCCTGGTTTAGTCCTGGTTCAGTCCTTTTTCAGTCCTGGTTTAGTCCTGGTTTAGTCCTGGTTCAGTCCTGGTTTAGTCCTGGTTCTGTCCTGGTTCAGTCCTGGTTTAGTCCTGGTTTAGTCCTAGTTCTGTCCTGGTTCAGTCCTGGTTCTGTTCTGGGTTAGTCCCGGTTCAGTCCTGGTTCAGTCCTGGTTTAGTCCTGGTTCAGTCCTTTTTCAGTCCTGGTTTAGTCCTGGTTCAGTCCTGGTTCTGTTCTGGGTTTGTCCTGGTTCTGTTCTGGTTCAGTCCTGGTTTAGTCCTGGTTTAGTCCTAGTTCAGTCCTGGTTTAGTCCTGGTTCAGTCTTGGTTCTGTTCTGGGTTTGTCCTGGTTCAGTCCTGGTTTAGTCCTGGTTCAGTCCTTTTTCAGTCCTGGTTCAGTCCTAGTTCAGTCCTGGTTCAGTCCTGGTTCAGTCCTGGTTCAGTCCTGGTTCAGTCCTGGTTTAGTCCTGGTTCAGTCCTGGTTTAGTCCTGGTTTAGTCTTGGTTTAGTCCTGATTCAGTCCTGGTTTAGTCCTGGTTCTGTCCTGGTTCAGTCCTGGTTTAGTCCTGGTTCAGTCCTAGTTCAGTCCTGGTTTAGTCCTGGTTTAGTCCTGGTTTAGTCCTGGTTCAGTCCTGGTTTAGTCCTGGTTTAGTCCTGGTTCACTCCTGGTTTAGTCCTGGTTTAGTCCTGGTTCTGTCCTGGTTCAGTCCTGGTTTAGTCCTGGTTCTGTCCTGGTTCAGTCCTGGTTCAGTCCTGGTTTAGTCCTGGTTTAGTCCTAGTTCTGTCCTGGTTCAGTCCTGGTTCTGTTCTGGGTTAGTCCTGGTTCAGTCCTGGTTCTGTTCTGGGTTAGTCCCGGTTCAGTCCTGGTTCAGTCCTGGTTTAGTCCTGGTTCAGTCCTTTTTCAGTCCTGGTTTAGTCCTGGTTCAGTCCTGGTTCTGTTCTGGGTTTGTCCTGGTTCAGTCCTGGTTCAGTCCTGGTTCAGTCCTGGTTCTGTTCTGGTTCTGCTCTGGGTTTGTCCTGGTTCTGTTCTGGTTCAGTCCTGGTTTAGTCCTGGTTTAGTCCTAGTTCAGTCCTGGTTTAGTCCTGGTTCAGTCTTGGTTCTGTTCTGGGTTTGTCCTGGTTCAGTCCTGGTTTAGTCCTGGTTCAGTCCTTTTTCAGTCCTGGTTCAGTCCTAGTTCAGTCCTGGTTCAGTCCTGGTTCAGTCCTGGTTCAGTCCTGGTTTAGTCCTGGTTCAGTCCTGGTTCAGTCCTGGTTTAGTCCTGGTTTAGTCCTGGTTTAGTCCTGGTTCAGTCCTAGTTCAGTCCTGGTTCAGTCCTGGTTCAGTCCTGGTTTAGTCCTGGTTTAGTCCTGGTTTAGTCCTGGTTCAGTCCTAGTTCAGTCCTGGTTTAGTCCTGGTTCAGTCCTTTCAGTCCTGTTTAGTCCTGGTTAGTCCTGGTTTAGTCCTGGTTTAGTCCTGGTTCAGTCCTGGTTCGGTTCAGTCCTGGTTAGTCTGGTTCTGTTCAGTTGGTTCCTGGTTCAGTCCTGGTTTAGTCCTGGTTCTGTTCTGGGTTAGTCCTGGTTCAGTCCTTTTTCAGTCCTGGTTCAGTCCTGGTTTAGTCCTGGTTCAGTCCTGGTTCTGTTCTGGTTTAGTCCTGGTTCAGTCCTGGTTTAGTCCTGGTTCAGTCCTGGTTTAGTCCTGGTTTAGTCCTGGTTCAGTCCTGGTTTAGTCCTGGTTCAGTCCTGGTTCAGTCCTGGTTTAGTCCTGGTTCAGTCCTGGTTTAGTCCTGGTTTAGTCCTGGTTCAGTCCTGGTTCTGTTCTGGGTTTGTCCTGGTTCTGTTCTGGTTCAGTCCTGGTTCAGTCCTTTTTCAGTCCTGGTTCAGTCCTGGTTCTGTCCTGGTTCAGTCCTGGTTCAGTCCTGGTTTAGTCCTGTTTAGTCCTGGTTCAGTCCAGTCCTGGTTCAGTCCTGGTTTAGTCCTGGTTCAGTCCTGGTTTGTCCTGGTTTAGTCCTGGTTCAGTCCTGGTTCTGTTCTGGGTTAGTCCCGGTTCAGTCCTGGTTCAGTCCTGGTTTAGTCCTGGTTCAGTCCTGTTTAGTTCCTGGTTTAGTCCTGGTTCAGTCCTGGTTTAGTCCTGGTTCAGTCCTGGTTCAGTCCTGGTTTAGTCCTGGTTCAGTCCTGGTTTAGTCCTGGTTTAGTCCTGGTTCAGTCCTGGTTCAGTCCTGGTTCAGTCCTGATTCTGTTCTGGGTTTGTCCTGGTTCTGTTCTGGTTCAGTCCTGGTTCAGTCCTTTTTCAGTCCTGGTTCAGTCCTGGTTCTGTCCTGGTTCAGTCCTGGTTCAGTCCTGGTTTAGTCCTGGTTTAGTCCTGGTTCAGTCCTGGTTCAGTCCTGGT